CCCTTTATCAAAAAATAACTGAAAAAAAAAAAAGGAATAGCACAGGGAACTATATTCAATACCCTGTAATAAACCACAATGGAAAAGAATATGAAAAAAGATATGTATTACGTGTGTGTGTATATATATATAAAAAACTGAATTACTTTGCTGTATACCAGAAACTAACATAACATTTTAAATCAACTATACTTCAATTAAAGAAACCAACCCCCCCACTACCCCGCAAAAGACAAAAACAAAACAAGAACAACAAAACTGAAAAGAATGGAGACTGGCGTGACAGCCTCACTCAAACAGTGAGTGGTGGGGTTGGGACTAGAAGCCGGGCCAGTGCTCTCGAGAGTGGTCCCAGATGACATACTATGAGCCACAGATTAGCCTCGTGTTATCTCTGCTCTTGCTTCTCTAAAATGAAAACCCTTCCCACCATTCAGGCTGGGAGAGGCCTGGACCACACCGGAGCTGCTAGGAGAGGCCAGACAAGAAGAACTTGGCGCTCTCCGGGCTGCATCTAGGGACAGTTCCTGGGAGCTGTGCCGCCACCTTTGACCCTCAGAGGCAAGAGTGAGGAGGCGGGGGTAGAAGGACTGGGCCCCAAACCCGGCTGGACGCAAGGTAACGTAAAGTGCGTCACAGGAAACCAAATCCACCTGCAGTCTGAATCCTGTGACCAAGGCTCCTCCCTTCTGAGCCTCTTTCTGCACATCCCTCCCTCAAGGACCACAGACTGAGCGCACTCAAGGCGGGTCATCAGTCAGACACGCCACATTTTCTCTTTCCTCTGGGCTTCTGCCCATGCAGGCTCTTCTATTTTCACTCCTTATATACGGCCCCCAGATTTTCTGGGGGACTCAACTGAGACCTTGCGTCTCCAGAGCAAGCACTCTGACAGGGCCGGGTGCTCCTCTCCTGTATGTCCATAGATTCCATCCCAGCACTTACCCCGGACCACCTCCTGGACTGGAGTGTGAGCTCCTGGAGGGCAAAGTCCCCGGATTATTCACCTCAGTACCCAGCACTTAGTAGGCCCTCAAAGGACAAATGCTGGCTCACACGGTAGGCGCACAATGAGTTCTGTCCCCTCCTCCTTCACTCATGACCACAGTGCAGAGCTCCAGGACACCAACCAACAAGCAAACAAATCCAAGTTCTTTCAACAGGGTACCAAATGAGAATGCTAACTTTTTTTTCAAAGTACTGTAATTCTGGTTTAAAAACCAAGTCACCTGCATACAGCTTCAGTTTTAAACACTGACATCAGCTGTAAAAAGAAGAAATCTCCCGAGAGTAAACAGTGCCCCAGAGTGAGAACTCACTACCTACACAGCCTGGGTCCCCACCACCTGCTCCCCCTAATTCCATCTGGCTAAGACAGAATGGGTATTTGTCCAAAGGCTTCACAGCTTTACTTCATTCTGTGCTAGCAGCAGGCAGGTGAGAAAGCCATGATGACTACGATGCTGTTTTATGAAAGCTTCAGGATCCTGAAAAGGGGATGAAACAGAGGACAGCATTCCTACCATCTTCCCCGGGGGATGAGGCGGGGGGGGGAGGGGGACTGCCCTTCTAATGAAGAGCAGAGACTTGGGGTCACCTGAATGACCAATAATTTCACCGTCTCTTCTGATCTTATTTCCAACTTTATACTCCATCTCATGCTCAAAAAACATTTGAGATGATGGTCATTGTTTCTTCAGGTCTATGTCTATATCGTGGGCTGTTAGTAAAGTGACATCCTAGTTGTGTGATCTTGGGCAAGTGACTTTCAAATGTCTTGAGCCTCAGTTTTCTTACCTGTAAAATGGTGATAGCAATGACCAAAACTGGGTTACTGTGATTTTAAAAATCCATAACGTATGTGGGGAACTTAGCCCAGTTCCTGCCACTTAGCAGCTACCCAGTAAATGAGAGCTGTCATTACCGCAAGATCTAGAGAATGGCAAGTTCTAAAAGGAGACTTGCAGGAACAAGAGGAAAGTGCACACTGGAGTTCCTGGGGATTATCTGATAGAGAATCCAGAACTCTGCACAAGGGGTGATGGTCACGGGGACCTCTGAAATTTCTGGAATGTTTGTAATTCTCCCATGTTTGTAATTTTCTCCCACAGTCTTATTTCATTTAGATCAGCAGTTCAATTCTTTACATGAAAAAGACCCAAGTGCTTATTTAGGGGATTTATTTGGGGGTAAAAGAAAGAAACTTACTAAGAGACTAAAGGAAAAGGCCTTAGCAGAGAACAGCTAGAATGTTTGGGAGCAAGAGGAATAAAAAGAGGGACATTCAGAATGCTGACAGGAGAACAGGAGGTCCCTAGAGGCCTCATTCCGAGGAGTTCTGCCCCTGACACAGATCTGAGCAAACTCTTCCTTGTTCCGTCCCTGATGTTCCCAGAATTCCGCCCACAGTGTAAGCATTACAAGTCACATCAGGTCGGGGAACACTCTGCTGGGACTCTGCTCAGACACCGTGACCCCACTCGGTGTAACCTGACACATCCAGTCACTGGGATGTTTAAAGGACACCTGATTCTGTGACAGTGTGGTTACCCTAAACCACCTAAGACATGACAACAAAGAGGAGAATCCCAGTTGGCCTCAGTCCATGCTTAGGTCACCTGAATCTGGGTTAGAAGGGAAGGCTGTCCTTTAGAGGCAGAGAGAGTTACTGCCTGCCTCAGTCCGTACCTATAAGGCAATGGTTTTCAACCCTGGCTGGGGCATCAGAGTCACTTGCAGAGCTTTAAAAACTCAGATGATGGAGACTCCCCTGGTGGTTCAGTGGTTGAAAATCCGCCTGGCAATACAGGGGATGTGGGTTTGATCCCTGGTCAGAGAACTAAGATCCTACATGCCACAGAGCAACTAAGCCCAGGCACTGCCAACTACTGAACCCGCACACTCCACAGCCCGTGTGGCACGACCAGAGAGTCAGTATGCTGAAGTGAAAGATCTCGCAATGACACAATGAAGATGCCATGTGCCACAACTAAGACTGAACACAGCCAGGTAAATAATACAATGCTTCGTGGAAGGACCATGCTTTGAACTTCTGGGAAATGATCAGGGTTCCACACAAGGAGATAAGAGAAGCTCTTTTTCCTAAGTGGTATCTGCAACCAGATCAGTCTGTTCTATAATAGCTTCCCTGGCTCTCCAAGGGGTAGGAATCTATCAGGAGGCAGCTGCGCTTGGCTGCCTAACCTTCCCATACCTTTCTCAGGGTCCCTGAACATCAGAGACACCTGCCTCATCATCACAGAACTCAATAAAAGGTACACTTATTACAGAAACTAGATTCAGATTCAACTAACATTTCTGGAGCTCCTTTTCTGTGGCAGGCCCTGCAGCAGACACATAAAAATTGCAAGCCTGTGAGAGAGGCACTACTTCGTTCTCACTAGGGGTGCATTCCTGGAAAAAGAATGTTCATCAGAGCTTTACCCACTCATTACAGCAGTCCTCAGTGGATGTGTTCCCAACATGGTGATTTATCACCTATGATCAACATACAAATGGGTTTACTGACTGATGTATCTTCTCAAAATTCCAATTGCTCTAATCGAGTGCATGACCATGCACTGATATCTGAGGCTTATCCCCTTCAGCTGTCAAAAGATCTAGCTTGTATTTTTTAAGTAAAAATATGGAACACTTCACAAATTTGCGTGTCACCCTTGCACAGGGACCATGGTAATCTCTCTATCATTTCAACTTTAATATCTGAGCTGCTGAAGCCAGCACTCTAGTCTGAATTTAAATCATGAAAATAATTCCTGTTTGTCTGTCATTTGGAAAGCAAACAAACCATTTGCTGGGAATCAAAGAGTTTTAAACAAGGGACTGCGAGGGAGTAGGCAGGTCCTTTTTGGTGAAGAGCATTCCTTTTATGGAAGCTGATTAGCACTATGAGCTATAACTACATTGTCTCCATTTTAAATGTGATGAAACTGAAGCTCAGAGAATCTCAGTAACTTGTTAAACACACACAGCTAGGACAGGGAGGGCAAGGACTTGATCCCAGGTCTTCTGATTTCCAGATCCATGCTTTTACCCTCGTACCACTAGTGAACCTCACTAGGTCTTCTGCACGGCTATAAGCACTTATGTGCAGATGTATAATTGTTGAAAATTCACATACTGTTTTTTTCTGCCAAATGCAAAAATCATGGATTAAGATCCAATAGAATTTTAGGATATAATCACAAAAGTAACAAGGGCTCAGAGGGGCTGAGTGATTTGTCCAAGATCAAACAGCTACTAAGAGGCAGAGCCTGTATTTGACCTTAGGTCTGTATGGCTCCAAAACAGGAGCTCTTTTTAACTAGCTAAAGGCACACACACAGTGTACTGGAGAGGAAATCACACGAGACAGGACTCAGAAGCCAAGAATTCCTGTCTCTGTTCCAATTTTTTTAGCTAAATCACTTTGGACAAGTCCCTTGCCTTCTGCAAACTGGAAGCAATGATCTCTGATCCACTTCACTATGAGAAGTGAAGATCCAAATGGACAAAAAATATTCTGAAAATTCCTTCCATAAAACAATAGAGCATAGGAATTCACGTAGGCCAGTCACACAGCTGTGGGTTCAAAAATTCCGACTCTGCCACTTAATGGCTTGCGTGATCTTGGACAAGTGATTTTACTTCTCATGTCTCCATTTTCTCATCTGCAAAATGGGGCTAAATCAAGTACCTACACCAAAGGGTTGTTGTGACGATTAAATGAGAGCATCCATTTATATACGGATTGGCCCACATAGAGTACAGGATGACTGAACATCAGCCACCATCACCAAAACTGTGCCTGCCAGGTTTTCAATTTCCTCAAGCACGGACTTTCTGAGCTACCACACCTGGGCAACAGTTTCCTATTACTCTCTGCCTTCGTCCTCTGGCCTTGACCCTCCTTCCCTTTCCAGTATCCCTTCCCCACAGCCCATTTTAATACCCCCCTGGCAACCCCAGTCCCCTTCCCCCATTTCGGCGCCGTGTCTTACTCGACGACTTTGGCTGGGTCCCCGTGGTGCCCATAGACCAGCGCCCGGACCCGGGAAGCCTCGGCAGAGGCAGAGAAGGAGGCGGCGTCAGGCCGTCGCCGGCTGGACTCTGGAAGCAGCCTCTGCCCCAGCTGGGCCGGGGCTCGAGCCCTGCAGAGCGCCCCGCAGACCCACATGTTCCCTCCAGTCAACTCAGAGCTAGACGCTGCGAGATACGTCATCTTTCAGCGACCGCTCGCCAGCGCCCGGCACCGCCTCCCGCGTGACCACGCCCCCTCTCCCCTTTTTAAAGGGCTGTCGCGGTCGTCCGCAGCTGGCGCTGGCGCTAGGTGAAACTCCCTGGGAAACCCGGAGTGGTCGGCGGAGGGAATTAGGGGAGTCTCGGAGACTCTGAGCCTTCCAGGGTTGAACTCCTAACAGTGAACATTAGAAATTGGCTTAAAGCTGGGACTGTGGTCTGAGATTGTTGTTTGATTCAGGGGAAGATTTTCCCCTTTCCTGGCCTCAGTTTCCCCTCCCCACTATTACATCGCTCACTGTGTTCAAATGAGGCGTTATTTCATTCAATCCCCACTGTCTTCTAACTAGTCTCGGATCGCAAACCTTACTTCACTACACTACTTACATCTACACTAAGAGTGGATGTAAGTAAATGTGGAGGTATGAGTACTGGGTTTGGAGTTTTAAGATTTAGGTTCAAATCCTAGACTTGCCGCTTGTTAGCTTGGCCCTCGGGCAAGTGACTGAAACTGTGAGACAGTTTTCTCATTCCTTGTTGTTGTTATTCAGTCATTCAGTCCTGTCCAACTTTTCGCGACCCCATGAACCGCAGCACACCAGGCTTCCCCATCCTTCACTTATCTGCTGGAATCTGCTCAAACTCCTGTCCATTGAGTCAATGATGCCATACAATAATCTCATCCTCTTGTTGTCCCCTTCTCCTCCTACCCTCACTCTTTCCCAGCATCAGGATCTTTTCCAATGAGTCAGTTCTTCGAATCAGGTGGCCCAAGTATTTCAGCTTCAGCTTCAGCATCAGTCCTTCCAATGAATATTCAGGGTTGATTTCCTTTAGGATTGACTGGTTTGATCTCCCTGCTGTCCAAGGGACTCTAAAGTCTTCTCCAGCACCACAGTTCGAAAACATTAGTTCTTCAGTGCTCAGCCTTGTTTATGGCCCAACTCTCATATCTGTACATGACTACTTGAAAAACCATAGCTTTGACTAAACAGAGCTTTGAGGAAGTGTGGTGTAAATAGGTGTAACCCAGGAAAGATGCTTATCACATTATTTGTGGAAGGAAGACACAAGCATAACTAAAACCCTAGTTGAATATTAGGGCATGACAGAGGGCACTTCTGGAGTCTGAGGGAGAGAGGTGTTTTGGGACCGAGGTGGGGGTGGGGGCTCTTGGAGGAGGTGATGTTGGAGACAGTCCGGTGACTCAAAATCTTCAATATTCATGAAAACCACCTGAGGTCCCATCTCAGACCTGAATTAGAATCTTGGGGAGGGATCCAGGAAACTACATTTTTTAGGTTTATTTTTTAATTTTTAACTTAATTTTCATAGAATTTCAGATCTGTAAAATAAGCACATTCTCTCTATACCTTCATCTAGATCCCCCAGAAATTAACATCATGTATAACATGTATAACAAAATGATCAAAATAAAGAAATTAACAAGTCTGCACAACCACCAAATCTTATTCACATTTTAATCAGTTATCCCTTGAATATAATTTTTCTTGTTCAGGACCCAATTCATGATCACATGTTACATTTAGTTGCCTTAATTCTTTAGGAATCTACATATCCTTTTCTTTTTCTTTCTTTTGAATCTACATTTCTTACAAACTCTTAAGAATTTTCTGATGCAGGTGGCCTGGGGAACAAACTTGAGAAACACTCACTGAACCAGGACTTAAAAGGATAAGGAAGAATTCCTTTCATTGGGTTTTATTGACCTCAAAGTTGCCAATTTAGAGCCTTTCCTATGAGGAGGAAAAGAAAGTGTCAGGTCAAAGGCCACACATGCTGCATTCTGGCAAACCTGGCTTTGAGTCCTGGCTCTGCCACTGTTTGGCCATTTGATTTTGGACAAGTCCCCTGGTCTCTCTGTGTCTCCATTTCCTTATCCTTAAAATGAAGGAAATAATCTGATTCAAGATGATTGTGAGCTACTATTTATGTGAACCACTTAACACAATGTTTGCCATGAAAGCATTTGCTAACTGTTATCAGGGGTTATTGTAAAGATTAAATGAGAAATATCATCTGTAAAACACCCAGACTGGCTTACAGTACATGCTCAAAAGTGTTTGTACTTTAAACAAAGTCATTTATTTATTTACTCATTTTTGGCTGCATAGGATCTCTTTTGCTGTGCTCGGGCTTTCTCCAGTTGTGGTGAGCTGGGGTTACTCTTTGTTGCAGTGCTTGGGCTTCCCGTTGTGGTGGCTTCTTTTATTTTGTGGAGCACAGGTTCTAGGCCCGTGGGCTTCAGTAGATGCGGTTCGTGTGCTGAATTGTTGTGTTACACAGGCTTGGTTGCTTCACCACATGAGGAATCTTCCCGGGTCAGGGATTGAACCCTTGTCCCCTGCATTGGAAGGTGGATTCTTAACCACTGGATTTAGATTATTAACCACTGGACTACCAGAGAAGCCCCTACTTATTTTTATTATTAGAGAAAATTAGTGTTCCATAGTGGGAGGAAGACTTGGTCCCACAGTACACACACACACACACACACACACACTCACATGCACACACACACACCCAGTCTTGCCTATCTTCTACAGTGATCCACAGTTCTATTTCTGTTGGAAGACTCCCTAGGTGACATTGAGCTGTTGATTTTATCTTCTTTATGAAACTGGTTCCTCTGAATTCCCTGAGCAGCTCATCCAGGAAGCCTGGAGAGTCACCCAGACTCACTTAGCCGGTCTTCCTCTTTGGGGGCTGGACGTGGTCTCCTGTCCATCATGATAGCCCTCATTTGTGGCCCAGGACATCAGCTCTTGTTTGAACTATGTCAACAATCTTCTTCCTAACTGAAATCCTCTCCCTTCTCTCTCCATTTCCTTCTTTCTCGGGCCTCCAGAATTGCTTTCTTTTTTTAAGAGAAAGACCAGATTTTGTTGTTCCCTTGTTTAAAATCCTTCCATGATTCCTCAATACTCAGGGAGACCCAGAAGCTACAGTTCTTTGTATTATAAAACTGTGAACTATTGATATATTAAACTTAAACTTGTAAACAAAACTATAGTTCTATGCTAATTTTATCATTCTCTCACATTACTGACATGTTTTAAAATCTTCAAAAAAACAGATGGAGGAAAAACACTTAAAATAACAACAAAAAATTTCTACTCATTGTAATTAATCTACCTTCTTGTGAGTTAGAAAAACATGACTGGGACTTCCCTGGTGGTCCAGTGGCTAAGACTCTGCACTCCCAATGCAGGGGGCCTGGGTTCAATCTCTGGTCAGGGAATTTTAAGTTCCCACATGCCACAGTTAAGAATTTGAGTGCTGCAACTAAAAGATCCCCCATGATAAACAAATAAATAAATATTAGGGAAAAAGATAAAAACATGACTGTGGTTTTAATTCATGTGTAGCATCCCTCAGCTTGACTTGAGGAACATTTGGGCTTCTTCAGGGGCACCATTTGAGAACCACTGATTGAGGGGACCAGATCCAATTGTCCTGGTCTTACATTCGAGACCCTTTGTTCCTCGACTCCCACACTGTCTTTATTTTCTGCTGTTGGACCATGCAGAGACTACGCTGCAACAATACCTGACACCAAGCTTTCCCAGTACCTCCATGTCTTGTGCCCTTATTCAGGCTGTTCCTTCTGCCTGAAGTGCTCTTCCCTGCGTTGCCTATCTAGGAAACTCCAGGTCCAGGTATCACTTCTTTGATGTTGTTTCCCAAACCCCCCCAGGCTGAGTCAATTCTGGTGCCTTTGTGTTTTCTTTGGGCTGGTGTTATGACCTTTAGGACATAGTCTTTTATTTATTTATGTGCCCATTTCCCCCTCCAGGCAAGAGTAGGGCCACGTTTAGTGTATCTCCATGACACCAGCACCCAATATGGGGCCTGGCACAGGTTAGGTATCATGAATATTCCATGAGTTGAAAGTAATTGAATTTCCTCATGGCCTGAGCCTGTCGGTGGTAGCATCTCCTTTTCCCTAGATTTGGGCTTGTCACTTCAGGTCAAGACTTTCAGTTTCCCTTCCTTCTTCTCTCAAGGATTAGAGAAGCCTGTGGTCTTTTTCAAGTGGAGCAGAATGTTCTCTTTTCATCTGTCCATCTGTTACTTGTGTCCTTTTCTCCTTCCAGCTCAGTCTCTGCCCATAGTCTTCCTCTGCACAAAGAGGGCTGTGGAATCAGTCTGACCTAGGTCTGAGCTCTGGACCCACCATTATTAGCTGTGTGACCTTGGGCAAGTGTCTTATGCTTTCTGAGACACCCAAAAAGCTTTTCTGCTTTTCTCGGTTTCCACATCCCCCCAAAATGGGATTAGCGGTAAACTCCTGCCATGGGGCTTCTGCAACTGTCCTCTGTGGCAGCACCCCTGCTTGCTTCTTCTTTTTTATCAGATTTTTCTCCTTGAGTTTCCTTTTCTGGATGGTCCTTTCTGTCTCTTCTCTGTGTGTTTGCTGTTGGTCTCTCCCGGGAAAATGTAAGGTTCACGAAGGCAAGAACCGTGTCTGCATGCGTTCATCCATTCAATATTTCTTGAGTGCTGACTATAGGCCAGACACCAAGCAGTGGGATGTAAGACAGAGTCCGTGGCCTTAGGGAGCTCGTGTTCCAAAGCTGCAGACATACGATGAACATGCCGTAAGAGTAGGCGCCTCCATTTAAAACAGCAAGAATCCCCTTTCCCCTGCCGTTTCTCTCCATTTCTTTCTTTTATTTATTGATGGCTGTGCTGGGTCTTCGTTGATGCACGTGTGCTTTCTCTAGCTGCAGTGAGCGGGGGCTTACTCTTCAATGTGGTGCACCTTGGGCAAGCTGCATTGCAGAGGCTTCTGATTGCAGAGGCTTCTCCTGTTGCAGAGCACAGGCCCGAGGTGCTTGGTCACAGTACTTGCAGCATGCACTCTCAGCAGTTGTGGTGCACAGACTTAGTTGCTCCTTGGCATGTGGGATCTTCCTGGACTAGGGAATGAACCCATGTCTCTTGTATTGGTAGATGGATTCTTAATCACTGGACCACCAGGGAGGTCCCATCTCCCCCATTTCTCCAGTATACTACTGTCTCACACACCAGAGAATTTGCTTTTTTTTTTTGGTTGTTTATTGTTCTTGTCTTTGCATTGGAATATAAGCTCCGTGAGGGTAGGGATTTTTATCTGTCTTATATCTTCACTTGGTTTAGAGTAACTGTTGGACAGATAAATTGGTATCTAGTGTTTGTTGATTTGCTCCATACGGAGACAGGCCTCAGCTGCTATTCAATTCAAGCCAGAAGTCTTTGATTCAAGTCTCGGAGCTGCTGCATACTACACGTAATCTCGGAAAAGTCACTTTCTCTCTCTGTACCTTAATTTTCTCAACTGTGTCATGGGAAAAATAGTGGTAAAGATTAAATGAGTCCATACAGGTGAAACACATAGAAGGTACCTGGTCTTACGTAGAAATGGACAACTAGTTTGTAGTCACTGTACACAGGTTTATACTGGGCAGAGGCCCAAATGTACTTAACCTGTGTAGCCTGGAGATAGACTAGAATCAATGGGAGTCAGTGAGGGGGGTAGATTTCATGGCGTGACGAGAAAGAACTTTTTAAAAGCCAGCCAGCATAGCAAGGAGAAATAGCTGAATCCATTATTACAGCTGGAGACTTCAACAGCTCTCTCTCAGAAATAAACATGTCCAGCAGGCAGAAACTCAGGGAAGACATAATTAAACTCCACAACACCATCAATCAACTAAAGATAAAGGTCATCTAAAAACTACTTCAGGGACTTTCCTGATGGATTGGAGGCTAAGACTCTGAGTTCCCAGTGCAGGTGGCCAGGGTTTGATCTCTGGTCAGGGAACTAGATCCCACATGCTGCAACTAAATAAATAAAGACTACTTCATCCAACAACAGCAGAGTACACAATCTTCCCAAGATCACATGGAATTTTTACCAAGATAGACCACCTACTGGACCATAAAACACAACTTAACAAACTTGAAAGAAAAGAATCATACAGTGATTGCTCTCAGATCATAGTAGAATTAAACTAGAAATAATAACAGAGAGTTGAAAAATCCCCAAATACTTGAAGATTAAATAACATACTTCTAAAAAACACATGGGTCAAAGAAATCTCAAGAGGAATTTAATTTTTTTGACATATTCATAAATGAAAACTAAATGAAAATGAAAACACAACTTTTCAAAATTTGTGGGATGCTGGGTAAGCAGTGCATAGAGGGAAATTTATAGCACTGAATGCATCTATGAGAAAAGAAAAAAAGGTCTGCAATTAATCATCTAAATTTCTGCCTTAAGAAACTAGAAACAGAAGAGCAAACTGAATGCCAGAGAAGCAGGAAAATAATAAAAATTAGAGCTGAAATCAGTGAAATGAAAAATAGGAAATCAATAGAGAAAAATCAACCAAACCAAAAGCTGCTTCTTTGAAAAGATTAATAAATCGATAAGTCTCTAGCCAGACTAGAAAAAGAAGAGAAAGGACACAGATTACTAATATCAGAAATGAAAGGGGGGACATCACTACAGATCCCATGGACATTAAAAGGATGATAAAGGCCAACAAAAGTCCATCTAGTCAAAGCTATGGTTTTTCCAGTAGTCATGTATGGATGTGAGAGTTGGACTGTAAAGAAAGCTGAGCGTTGAAGAATTGATGCTTTTGAACTGTGGTGCTGGAAAAGACTCTTGAGAGTCCCTTGGACTGCAAAGAGATCCAACCAGTCCATCCTAAAGGAAATCAGTCCTAAATATTCATTGGAAGGACTGATGCTGAGGCTGAAACTCCAATACTTTGGCCACCTGATGCGAAGAACTGACTCATTGGAAAAGACTCTGATGCTGAGAAAGATTGAAGGCGGGAGGAGAAGGAGAAGACAGAGGATGATGAGATGGTTGGGTGGCATCACCGACTCACTGGACATGAGTTTGAGTAAACTCTGGGAGTTGGTGATGGACAGGGAGGTCTGGCGTGCCGCAGTCCATGAGCTTGCAAAGAGTTGGACACGACTGAGCGACTGAACTGAACTGAACTGAAAGGAATACTACGAACAGCTCTAAAAGCTAGCGTTTCCAAGACCCCATCACTTACCCTTGGTAGGTGATGAGTTCCCTGTCCTTGGAGATAAGTATGGATGCGCACTGAAAGGGATCTGAGGTAGAGGGGATTCAAGCATTGGGTAGGACCAAGAGGCTCTGTGTCCCTGGGTCTCGGTCCCGGAGAGCTGTGTGCGAGCGAGGCACGAGCAATGAGCAGAGGAGTGGATCTGCTCACCTAACAATGTCGGTTCCGGGTGGGTTCAGAGGCGGGTGGGAATCCAGGCCCAGCCCGGGACCGCCAGGCAGGGGTCCGGGAGTGGGGGCGGGGCGCGTCAGGGCCGCGGGCGACGGGACTGGGCAGGGGCGCGCGAGGCTGCCAGTAGGGGGCGCCTCGAGACCGAGGAACGCGCCGCCGAGCCTGACGTCAGCGCCCCGCTTGCTTGGGCTCCCGCTCTGGACTCGGCGCCAGTCCCGCTCGGCGCCGCGCCGCTTCGCTCCGGCTCTGGCTCGCTTTGGGCTCGGCTCGGGCTCCGGCGGCGGCGGCGGCGCCCCCCCGCGCCGGGCCCCGGGGCAGGCGACGGCGCACCATGGCCCGCGCCCAGGCTCTCGTCCTGGCGCTCACCTTCCAGCTCTGCGCACCCGAGACCGAGACTCCGGCAGGTAAGCGCGAGTCGGTCGGACCCAGTTTGCCCCGCCGAGCCCCGGCGCCCGTGGCGTATCTCGAAAGAAAGTGGGAGTGTTGGGTGACCGGACGTGGCGAGCTTGCTCCCGGTGTGTCTTGAGTGTTGATCGTGTGCTCAGCGGGTTGTGTGCCTGCGAATGTGTCCTGAGGGACACAATGTGCAAGAAAAGGTGCTGTGTGTGCTGTGTGTCCACGAGTATGTTGGGGTGAATGTTGTGTGCATCAAGGCATGGGGTGTGCGCCGAGTGTCTGCCTCTGTGTAGTGTGTGTGTGGGGCCAAGTAGGATTTTATGTCTGTTGTTTGTCCATCCGAGTTCGGTTGTGTGGCAGGAGTTGCCTCGGCTGATGTGTTGCGTTTGTGGGCATCTGTGTGTGCCCTAGCCCGGAGTGCTGTTTGTTGTGTGTCCGAGAATGGCTTCTGTGTTTTGTGTTCTGCGTGTGGCGAAGAGTGCTCTGTGGATTCTGCCCGCGTGTGGAGCAGAGGACGCGTGTGCGATGTGTGTGCTTGTGAGATCTGTGTACGTGTGTGAAGGCGTGGGAACGGGTCCGGAACGAGTGTGTCCGCGCGCCGTGTGCGCGATGTGTACGTGTGTCTGGGGCCGGTGGTGTGCTCCGCCGGCGGCTGCGTGGGTCCCAGTGAATGCCGAGTGTGCCGGGAATGCGTGTGTAGCAGCGTGTCTAGAGCGGATGTGAGTGTGTTCGTGCAAGCTGGCTGCGTGTCCAGGAATGTTGCGAGTGTGGTCCGCGCCTGGGCCACGGCTGAGTGTGTGCCCCGGGCCGGGGCCGCCCGAGGGGGCGGTGCAGGTTGTGTTGTGTGTGTGTCCCTCGGGTGTGCGCGTGGGGCGCGCGGGCCCCGGAACAAGTTGTCCTGGCGGCGCCCCGTTGCCTCCCCGGTCGGGCCGGGCCTGAGGCTTGGCAGCGAGGGATGGGGGCCCGGCGGCCGCCGACTCCGACATGTCGGGCTGTTTGTTGTTTCGCAAGTTCAGCGCGGCGCTGGCTGGTGGCGGATCCGAGACGGCGCCGGGTCTGCGGGGCGCCCGGGCCGGGGCCCGGAGGGCCCAGCGCGGGGTAGGGGGCGGCCGCCGGGCGCGCCGGGGCCGGTGGGAGGGGAGGGCCGTGTGGCCGGGCGATCGTGCGGGGACCGGGCCGCGGCTGCATCCAGGCGGCGGGGCGGGGTGGGGGGTGCGTCCGGGTGGGCCGGGCCTGGCTCTGGGCGGCCGGACGGCGCCCCCTCTGGTTGCGCGCGGGAGGCGCCGCGGACGCCGGGGTCTCCTGGGACACCCTCCTCCGTCGACTCCGCAACTTTGTGCGGCCTCCCCGCTGGCAGGGACGGCGGGGTGTGAGTGTACGCGTGTGAGCGTGTGTCTCGGTGCTTCTGGGTGCCGTGTGACCGCGCTGTCTCTCTGAGTGTGTTTCGGAGAGTGGAGTCTTTCGGAGGTGTGTTGTGTGTGTGTGTCTGCGTGTGAAGTTGTACGTGTGATCGCGTTTCTGAATGTGTGTATCCAGAGCTGTGGCTGTATATCCGTATGTGCTGTGGACCGTGTGTCGGCGGCGGCTGTGTGTGTTCATGTGTCTGTCCCCGCCTCCCCCACCCCTGATCCAACCCGGAGGCCTGGGATGCCACACTGGGGGCCCTCTCCTGCGGAGTTGCGTCTGATGGCCTTTCTGGGGCGGGGGTGGCTTGTCCCCTCCCGGGGGCCTCAGCATCCCCGCCCCCTCTGGTTGGGCGGCTCCAGTCTGGTACCCGGGGCACCCGAGTAACGGGGAGACGCCCCAGACGGGTTTCCGAGCCGAGACACAGGCAGAGCCACCTCGGCCCCAGGGAGCCTCCTTCAGGCCGCCGGTCTCCGAGAACTGGCCTCTCCGGATCGCATTTGGCTGCCCTGCCGCCCCCTCCGGCCTCTTCGGGTGGAGCTCCCAAGGTGCCCGCGGCCTCTCCCGCCACTGACTCTAAGGTCAGCCGGACCCTGCGGCCCCAGGCCATCGCGCACAGCTTTAGCGTTGACTCCTGAGCGCCAGAGAGGACTCCTAAGGCGACCTCCCTCCTTATCTTCCCCCAACCCTTACCTCTGTCCTGCAGCTACTTTGCCCCCTCCCCCACTCTGAGATCAAGCCGAGGGTACTACACACTCTCCCGTCTCTACCTCCATCACCTTGATTCTGAGAACCCTCAGATGTGGCCCCCCCTCTTATAACAGGGGGGACTGTCCACGGCTGAGGTTGAGGACTGAGATCTTGAACCAGTTGCTTCCATTCCTGGGGCCCCGGTTTTCTGCTCTGTCCCACGGGCTTCATGATAAAGGTGTATGGTACTTGGTAGATTGCAAAGTAAGCCTCTGTCTGTGAGTGCCAAGGAACAAAAGACGGTTTTGAGGATGGCTACAAAGCCGCAGAGGCTGTGATTTGCAGCCAGGGGGACCTGGGTTCAAATTTGCCTCTGCCACTTGCTGTCCTCATGTCCTTGGGCAAGTCACGTCTCTTCCACAGTTCCTGACACCTGTAGCTATTACTGTTGAGCTTCATTCAGAAGCCCTGAGTAGAAGGGATATGATCTCCCCGCGTCCCCGAACTGGTTTGAGTCAGCCCAGCTCCCTGAAAGGGCCTCCTGAGTCCCCCCTCCCTCCAAAGGGTGGGTGGTGATGTCTCTGAGCCATGCAAATCTGGCAGTAATTTATTCCATTGCGTTCTAGCTCATTTTGTCCTTTTGGTTGCTGGCGCTGTGGACAGCAGGAATGAGGGAGAGGCTGCCCAGTGGTTTCAGGTTGGGCAATAAAGGCTTGTCTGGGCATCTGGCACTTCTCCCTGGGGTGGGGGAGGGACTCAGCAGGAAGACGTGAGAGTGGCCAGAGTGGGGGGTACTGAGCTCCTGGGCGGCTCTGGTGCCAGGGACAATCCAGGGTGGATGCCCTGCTTGTTCCAGGTGTGCCGCCGTCCTGCCCTGCTTTCATCGGCTAAGCCAGACCAGGGTGGTGGGTGGCTGGTCATGCAGGACTGGGCTAGCTAGACTTGTTGGGGCAGCCTTGTGCCCTCCTTTTTCTTTCAAAACCCTTCCCTCCTCAAAGTTGTTCTCCCGTATCCTGATGCACCCGACCCTTATGCTGTCTCAGGATCTCTCTCATCTGTCCCCTTCTCTCCATCCTTACCCATCTTGCATGTGCAGGCAGGCTCCAGCCTCTTCCTTCACCCTTCCCTCCATAGTGTCAGGGATCTTCCTAAAACACATTTGAAAGCCTGGTTTGAAACCTTTTGAAAGCTCACAATTACCTCCCAGTTAAGTCTCTTCCCCAGGTCCTCTTGCCTGCTCTGACCCCTGCCTCCCTGTCCAGTCCCATCACCTTTGTGCTCTTTGCCTTGCATCCTATGTTCTGACCAGTTTAACCCATCTCCCAATACCCACTAAATGCCCATTGCCCTCCATCTTCTCTCTGGGCCTTTGGACAAACTGAGTTAGAACTCTCTAACTCCACCTCCTTACTGAGTAAATTCCTGCTCCTCCTTCAGGTTTTAGCTTAGACATCACCTCCTCTCTGAAGCCTTCCTTGGTTCCTCCCTCTTCTAGTCCAAGAAGGGAGGAGGGGGTTGATTGGATTTTTCATAGCACTGTAATTATTGTAATTACAGTTTATTGGTCCTTTCTCCCTTAGAGACCTTGAGCTCTGTGGGGATAGGGACTGGGTATTTAGCTCACTTTTGGATCTTAACTGCTAGGTTCAAGGCCTGGCCCACTCCTGATGAGTAAATACACCAGGCAGGAAAGAATGAGTGACATCCAGGGGGTCAAGTTCTGAGCTGGAGATGCCAGATGGGGGCGCACCAACTCCACTGAAAGTAGAGATTGAAGAAATAGGTTTCCCTCCAGGAATCTGGAAAATTCTGCTGGGGGGGGGGTGCGGGAGGGGATGATGTTGTATGAAAAGGCCACACAGAGAGTGTCATCTGGGAACTGGGATTTGGAGAGGTCATCTCCCTGCCGGGCAGCCCCCTGCCCCCCACCGCTGTCCGCCGTCCCCTCTCCCACAATCACCCTTGCCCCCCAGCGGCTAGCAGGGTCTGTTGTCACTCCTGGTCTCAGCTCTTTGTCCTGGAGGCTCGGCAGTTGGTGAGACGCATCAGAGTCCCAACCGTCACTGAGCGTCTCGTCTGGGGAGGAGGGGGAGGGCCCTGTGGGGGGAGGGCGGGTGTTCCCTCAATCCTCTGTCCTCCTCTCAGCCTCTGTCCTGGCTGCCCCTGAGCCCAGGAATCGGGGAGTGCTGCTCCCCGTGGTGACCCTGCAGGTGGGGTTTGGGCGGGGGCCGGGGGAGGTGTGTGTGGGTGTCACCCTCATATCTGGACAGTCAGAATGTGTGTGTATGTGTGGCTGTGATTGTATGATCACAGCCTGGGACACAGGACATATGTATGGCTTCTCAGGGGGTCTGGCCATCTGGTCACCCTGTGTGGCAGGATCTGAATTCCGAGTTGAGAGGCGACCAGCTGCTCTGACCCCGGGGAGCCTGATGCTGGGTGTCCAGGTATCCATGTGTCAGATCCCTGGAGTTTGGGTGCAGAGCTCTTTGGGTGGGTGACGTCTCAGGATCTGGGCGTGGGTGTCCCAGGACCCAGATGTGGGAGGATCAGGGTGTGTCAATAAGAATATCCCAGTGTCTCTGGATCCGGAGGTGGGTGTACCCCGGTGACTGGGAGTCCTCAGGTTAATGGGTGTGGGGGACTGTAGCTGCCTTGTGCCCGGCTGTGGGGCTGCCCAGATGCCTGGATGTGGGTACTCACGTGTCTGGGTCTGGGGTATCTATGTATCTAGCAATGGGGTGCGCCTGTGTTGGAGTATCCAGGTGTTGGTGGGCTTGGCTGTAGGGTGCTCTGTGGTCTGTGTGTCTAGGTGTATATTTAGGTGTCTGCATCTCCAGGAAAGGGGTGTGTGTGTTTGGGTGGGGAGGGTCCGTGTGGTTGTGCCCTGTTGTGGACCAGGGCCTGGGCCTGT